CCCGGTTGGCCCTTTGGGCTCTACTGCTGCCTCATGTTCAGCTGGCCATCAACTAGAACCCCCAGATTCCTTTCCACAGCACTGTTTTTCATTCTCTTGGTCCCCAGTATAGAAACATATCCAGGGTTGCCACATCCCAGGTGTAAAATCTGGCATTTGTTCTTCTAAAAACTAATGTGGCTGGTGATTTAATTTGTTCAGATCTTTCTGAAAGGTCCCTTAGCCCTCAAGGGAGTCATCTCTCTACCCTCAGTTTAATGTGATCTACAAGCTTACTTAGTATGCATATGAGTCCTGCATCCAGATCGTTTATAAAAACACTGAAGAGAACTGGCCCCAAAATAGAGCCCCTGGGAACCCCACCAGCAACTGGCTGCCAGTCTGATGCAACTGAATTGCATTTACTATAGTTTTTGAGCCTGACCCATCAGCCCATTGTTCACCCATTGTATTATGTTTTTGCCAAGCTGTATGCTGGACATTTTATTCAGAAGGAGAAAAATATAGAAAGATACAGAAAGCTTTTCTGAAATCCAAAAACATTACACCAACTGTTTTCCCTTGGTTACCTAGGTGGGTAACCTTGTCATAAAAGGAAATTACGTTCATTAAACTGGACTTTCTCCTCATTAACCTGTGTTCACTATGACCAACAACTGTGTTGCCTCTAAAGCATTTTTCAGCAATTTCCAGAATAATCTTCTCCATAATTTTACCAGACAGTAAAGTGAGGCTGACAGGCCTATGATTACCAGGGTATTCTTTCTTACTTTTCTTGGAAATGAGGACTGCATTTGCCAGTTTCCATTTCACCTCTACCAAATCCCAAAACTATTGAAAAAGAATTGAGAGAGGTCTCACAGTATTATCAGCCAACTCTTTTGATAACTTGGGATGAATCCCATCGGGCCTTATAAAAGTACATGCATTCAGCTGAAGCAGCAAATTCCACACAAGTTCAGTCTACTGAGAGTTAATTTTTGAAGTCATAGTCCTTCAGCTATGGGCTCTGGAATTTCCAGTGGAAAAGAAAATCACAGCTCAGTCAAACTAGCTTCGTATCACACATGCTTACTTCTAACACGTTGGAACTGCCTGCTTACTTGCTTTCAGGTGATACTTCAAAAGTGGCCAGCAATACCCTTGAAAGCAGATTCCCAGACAACATTACTAACTAGTTCTTTAAGAAGCCTGAAATCTGCTCTCCCAAAGCCCAGGGTAGCAGCTTTGCTGACGATTTTTCTCATATTATCAAAAATTTGAAACAACCATTCATGATCACTGTGGCCAAGACAGCTGCTGATCTTCCACTGGCCCACAAGACCATCTCTATTTACCTGTGCTGCTTCATGCATCCCAGGTTATATTTGGCCTTTTAGGCTGCCAATGCACATTGTTAACTCAAATGAGTTCATAATCAATTGAAACCTCCAGATCCCTCTTTGTAGGCCTGCTCTTCAGCTGCTTATCATGCAACCTATAAGGAATTCCAAGATCGTACCATTCCAGGTGCAGAATCTGGTGTCTCCTTGTTTTAAATATCACACGTCTAATGACTGACCAGCACTTTGGTCTATCAAGACTTCTCTTCAGGGCCTTTCTATTCTGAAGAGAATTGGCAGCTCCTCCCAGTTTAATGTTGTCTGAAAATTTATTTAATGTGCACTTAACTTCAGCAGCCAGGTCAGTGATGAAAACATTATAAAAAAACAGGCCCTAAGATTATGGTTTGACCCAGTGGGCAGCTAAGCACCATCCCAGAGGGATGAGGAAGGGAAGGATAGCTTAATACGACAGAAATGGAAGGGGAAATCACAACATCATCATCAATAACAACAGTAGCAACAATAAAAATAAAGAATACACAAGACAGATGATTCACAGTGTTACTGTTTGCCACCCAGTGACCAACAACCAGCCAGTCTTTGAACAATGGCTATCCCCCACCCTGGCCAACTCCCCCAGTTTTATTGTTTAGCAGAATGTCAAATGGTGTGGAACACCCCCAATGGTCAGGTTGGGTCAGCTGTGCTGATTCCATACCTGAAAAAGAAGCTTTTACTTTTTGTGCGTCCCGGTATCCTTATTAGTAGGGAAGTTAGAGAAGCAGAAATGTCCTTGATCTAGTGTGAGCACTGTTCACCATCAACAAGAATATCGGTGCGTTATCAACATTATTGTCATCCTAAATCCAAATCACAGCACCATACCAGCTGCTATGAAGAAAATTAACTCTATCATAGACAAAACCAGGACAATGAGGAAATCATCAGTAACTGTCTACCACCCGCACGTTGTTCTACTAATTATAACCTTTTCCAGTTCAACCCTTCAGCTAATTTTCACCCATCATATTGCACACATATCCAGCAGTATTCTGGGCATTTTGTCCAGAAAGATGCTGTGACAGACAGTACCAAAGCTTTGCTAAAATCCAAAAACTATAGCCACTGCATTCCTTTGGTCATGTAGAAGTGCAATTTTATCTTAAAAGAATATTAAGTTAGTAAGGCATGACTTTCCCTACATGAACCCATATCAGCTTTCTCCGATGGCTGCACTGTTTTTCAGGTGTTTTTCAAAAACTCCAAAAATGATCTTCTCCATATTTTTACCAGGCACTGAAGTGAGACTGACAAGCCTGTAATTGCCAGAGTCTTCTCTTCTACCCTTCTTGAAAACTGGAATAACATTTGCTAGCTTCCAGTCGACTGGAACTTCTCCACTTTCCCAAGACTGTTGATAAATAATTGAGAGAGGTCTTAAGGTCTGTCAGTAGCCTAGGATGAATTCCATTGGGCCCCACAGACTTACGTGCATTCAGTTGCAGCAGAAAATCCTGTACAAGTTTAGTATCAACAAGGAGCTTGTCACTCCTCCACGTGTGGTCCACCAACCCAGGCACTACAGGTCCCAGGCCTGTCAACAGTGTTAAAGACAAAGACAGGGAAGGCCTTAAAAATTTCTGCTTTATCTTTCATCTCTTTTTTTGAGTGACCATCATCATCAAATAAAGAAATGATATTTTGTTTAGACCTCCTCTTACTGTTAATATACTTGAAAAACACTTTGTTTCAGTTGTAACTGTGCTTGATTTTAAACTCAACCATTTCATAATCATTGTGGCCAAAAGAGCACCAAATCATCACTTCATCTATGAAACGATCTTTACTTACAAACAACCAAGACCAAGAAGGGCACCTTTTCTAGTCAGCACGCTGAGTATACCTATATCAAAAATTTCAGTGCATTCCCTGCACACAAAGGCAGTCTGAAGCCAACTTTCTTGGCCTCTCTAGGTCTCTAGGATGGAAATGGATTTTAGGTAGACTGGTTGCATGCAGGTCAAGCACAGACAAAAAAGTACTCTGCTGAGCAGGGATCTCCCTCACTGCATTCACCCCCATTAGTTCTTAAGTCTCTTTGATGCAAGCAGGCTAGTCTTTGTATGGGGTGAAGATCAGCCTGCACCTGAGGAGCTGCATCTTGAGCTTCAGGGGAAGAAAGTGCAGCTGCAGACAAGGGAAAGGAAGAGGAAGAAGGTGACAGCACACTACTTTCTGAATGTACACATGGCCTGGCATGAAACCAGGAACTACTGCTGTCATGGCGCTGTGCTGCTGCAGTGATTAGTTATCATTATCATTAGTTATGAGTGGAGCTGAGGATAGAAGAATCAGAGATCCTCTGTATGCTTTTCAATATCTGTTGCTGATGAGCCCATATAGCTACAAAAATAATACAACAATAAGATAATGTATGAAGAAGAACATTACAGATGCTCAGCAGAGCTAACAGGACTGAAGGAACCTTGCCTTTCTGCTGAACAAATGGTGTAGTTTGTACAGTGGTATCAAAATTGGGGTTTACTTTGAGGTACTTGTTTGCTTATTTTCTCAAAAAATAACCTGTCTGGTATGAATTATATCAAGTGAAATTTGAAATTCGCATACACACACACACACAAACAGAATGAGTTTTTCTCCTTTTGCTGGTGATGCTGTTTGGAGGTCACTTTCTGAGACAAGGTTTTTGGAGCTGCAGAAGCGCAGAGCACAGAAAACAGAGCTCAATCTGGCTTGTGTGGAAGGAAATTGCTAAGCTTCCATTCTTTCCCACTGAGGCTGAATTAAACCTTTCTCACTAAAGAAAATTGATTTTTAGAGCAACACCACTATTAGAAGCTCTGGCATCCTCAAGGATTTTTCTAAACCTTGCTTCATATACTATGCCTGTGAGTGAGTATTCTCTTGGGTAGGAAAAATCCCTACCCATCTCCCCATTTGCCTGCATGTGAAATATCTGATACTGAAATATCTGGAGACAGGCCATTGAATTAACGAGACACAGGGAAGGTTCTGTCATCCCGCACAAGGGTATCTGCCCTGTGTTGGGAGGAGGAGAGTCACCCTCGATTTGTCACAAAACCTTCTCGTGTCTCCGTGGGAAAAGAGCGACGCTGGTGCTGGAGCTTTGCTCCGCAAATGTGAACCTGTGTGAGCAGATCCGTGTCACACAGAATGAGGACAGCGCGGGACAGCCCGGCCACATCGCGAAGGGCAAAACAACGCAGAGGGAAGCGGGCACAGCTCGTGATTTCTTTCTCGTGTTGCATTACGTACTTAAGTTTCAAGTTGGCTTGTTGGGGTTGGTTTGTGAGGAAGAGGCTTTTGGGGCATTTCAGGAAAATCGCGCACAAGTTGGCAAATGACAACACAGCGTCGACGTCGATGAAATCAGCTCCGGACAGAGAGGAACCCGGCTCCGGCAGCACGTCCCGAACCGCTTCCTCCCTCCCGCCCCCGGGGACGGATCAGCACCCCGACCCAGCGCCAACACCCTTCTCAGTGTCCCGTAGCGACCGCCCCGCAAATCCCCAGCCGCGGTCCGTCCGCGGGAACCGAGGCCGCCCCTCCCGCGGCCCGCCGGGCGCGCTGGATGCCCGCCCCCGCGCGGCGCCCATTGGCCGCGCTCCGCCCGCCACCGCCCCGCCGCGGGGAGGGAGGCGCCAGCGTCGCCCTCGGGCCGTCGCCGACGCCGCTAACGGAGCGAGGTCGGCGCGGAGCGGGGCGGCGGCGGGAAGAGCGCGGCGCGGAGTTGCGCCCCGGGCGGAGGGGAGCGAGGCGCCGGCTGCGAGCCCACCAAGCGGGCAGGGGAGGGCAGGGGGCAGGAGTGTCAAACTAAACGCCCAACGGCATCCGGGCCGTCCGCTTTTTTTTTTTCTTTCTTTCTTTCTTTCCTTCTTTCTTTCTTTCTTTTTTTTTTTTTTTTTTCTAATTATTCCGAAAGAGAAACCTCACTGTTTTTGGCACACTGCTCCGCGTGCGGAGTTGTTTTCCGCGCACCGCTGACAAACAAAGGAAAAGGGGGAGGGGGACCGCGCTTCGCAGAAGACATGCGTTCCGTCAGGAAGAGGTGGACTGTGTGCACCATAAGTCTCCTCCTCATCTTCTACAAGACCAAGGAGATCGCGCGCACTGAGGAGCGCCAGGAGGCTCCGCTCGCCGGGTAAATGCGGCGCCGCGTCGGGAGGGTCCCCGCGGGGGCGGCGGCGCTGTCCTGGGGGCTCCCCGGCCCCTCCACGACTGCGGCATCCCTGAGCCCCGCGGTGTGCGCGCGGCTGTGGCTCTCACGGAGGCCGGGAGGGTCCGCCCGGAGCCGAGCGTGGCCCCGGCCCCCGCCCCGAAGTTTGTCCGGGCGCCGCGCGTAACTCGGGGCATTCATTCCCCTTGCGCCTGGCGCTGCTCTGCTGGAGGGCCGCCGCTGCCCACCGCCACTGTGGAAACAAGAGGCGAAAAGTCCCTTCCCGCTTTGTGCTGCACCTCAGCTTTCTCTTTCTTTGTTGGTCACCTTGGCTGTGTACGTGCGTGCCGGCGTTCTTCTTCTCCCTTCTAACTTGCACCCATCTTGTGCAGGAGTTGGGTGTTCCGCCCCGGCTGCCTCTTTCCAGGCACTGTTGGGGTGAAGGATGCGTGAGTCCCGCAGGCACGGTCAGCCCGGCGAGGGCGGGGAGAGGGCTCGCGCCTCGCGTTCTCCTGTGCGCGTCTGCTGCGGTGAGATGCGCTCAGCACCCGTCCTCCTTGGGTGTAAGCCCTACATTTGAGGAGAAGGAATAAAGTTGCTGAAAGTGCCCATAGGAGCCCGGAGGGAGCGGGGGCAAATGCGGTCCCCGTGCGTTTCCGCGCACCCTTCTGCCCCCAATCTGGGCAGAAAGCGCGTCCTCCCCCAGCTGCTGCTCGGGCGCAGCGCGGCACAGCGGTGCGGGGCGCATCTGCGGTGCAGTGGGACGGCGGTGCGGTGCCTCGCAGCACTGACAGGTCATAGAATGACAGAACCACAGAATATCTTGAGTTGGAAGAGACCCGCCAAAATCATCGAGTACAACTCCTGGCTCCACACAGCACCACCCAGAAATCAGACTGTATGAATAGGGCTGGTCGTGCCTCTCTGCACCTCTGGTGTGGTGTTTGGTTTTTGTGGCATTAAAGATTTTCACGGCTTGCTGTAACTTTCCCTGTTGTTCAGTTTGGGTGTGATGCTTCTGCTGCAGTGCTGTGGCACCCGCATATTTGGAGGTGTATGGAAGTGTTTAGGTTGTGGGGTGCACAGAGGTTGGTGTGAATACACAGCTGTGAAGGACAATCAGCCTCGACCAGAGGTAGTGTGTTTTTTAGCAGACACTTCTTGTCAAATTAGGGGCAGGTTAAGTGATTCAGGAATGAGTCACTAGGTAAAACCCATATTTGCCAGAAAAGTCCCCTATATGTTATGATGCATTCTATTTAACTTACTTAAGAGGTAGTAAAGAGAACCAATGCATTAACGTTAACAAAAGTGTGCTTAGGCATAGGTATGTATGGCTTTAGCAGTGCTTCAAAAGGCATCAGTGCCAAATCACTGAGATGCTGGCTTTGGTGGCAGTGGGATGTCCTGTGCAGCATGGAAGGCAATGGAATGAGGGCCTTTCTTACCCACTTCCCTACTTCACTGGAGTACCACAGCTGGTGAACTGTGACCATCTGCCACCACTGCTGGCACGAGGCTCCCTTCCTCTTGAAGGAAGAAGGGCTCTCTGGTATTACATGGGTTGTTTCTGGCTGTCACACAGGAGATCCGACTGTTTTTTCTGTGGGATGTGTTACTTCCAGGAGTGCCAGGAACAGAGCTGTGAAGGCAGGAGGTGGTCTGTTTGGGGTTCTTGGTAGCATCATGGTTAGATCCCAGGCTGTCTGTGTGATTCACAGGCATGTGGTGGTACCATTCGCTGTGTTTTCATAGTTGAGTTCTCACAGACGGTAATTGAAAGACTGTGCCCAAATGTCCTCTTAAAGGTTATGTGAAGTAATGTGAGTAATGAAATTTTCATTACATGGAAGGACTGTTTCCTACATACCATTGTCCTGGCATGAAATATACGACTTAAATCTGTAAGACAGTTACTCATTCAGTGAACCATGTTCAGGAGGAGAGACTGTTCTCCTGTGCTGTCTCAGTCAGGTTGGTCACCAGAGGACGTTGGCTTGGGGCTGGGGCTGATACCATCAGCCACACATTGCTGTTGCTCCAGGTAGGGTTCGCTGTGGTTCTGGGTGGTACAGGGAGGCCCAAATCCATTTCACACCTTTTTAAACAATGAAGAATTTTCTGGAGTAAACTGAGAGTTTTATGTGTTAGCTTATTTCATTTTATTTTAAGTAAAAATTAAATGAAGCAGTAACAGTAAATGAAGGGGAACATGAAGAGAAAACCTTTGTATTCATGCTGGAACTTTAGTGCATAGGATCTTATTTTAGCTCACGAGAACATAATTCAACATTGTTCTGCTCCACCGTATAGAAATCTGTGCAGTTCACTGCATGTGTAAATTACGAGTGCAGAAGACAACGACATTTGAAATGCAAGGGCACCGTAGGTGTTGTCAGCATCATTTCTCCCTGAGTTGTGTCACCTGTGTCACTTCTAAGGTGCCTGTGGGATAGGACTCGTGAGACATCTGTGAGGTGCTTTCAGACCAGGTACTTTCCCCAGATGCATTTTGGTAGTTTTATGTTAGGTGTAAACACTTGATCTTACTGCAGTAAAATATATGTGGTTATCCATAGCCATTATGGAAAAATTTAAGGAATAAAGTAATAAAAAAGGATAGCAAAAAAATATGAATTACATTCTGACTATTGAATTCAGAGTGTCCAGTGTCGTCCTCACATCCTGTGAATAAATTAGAGTAGGGAGCATGGTTTGCATGCACATCGTGTGCATACACAGTTGCTTACAGTGGTAGATTTTTCGGTAGGTGGCACTCTTACCTATGAGTCGGTGCGATGCTGGTGCTGCAGTGTGCTGGCATCGGGGAGGGAGGGAGACTGCTGTCAGTGTCGCTGGGCTGCTTTTGGCTTTGTTGGTTTGTTGGCTACAGGGACTTCTGCAGTCATAGCAGCTTTTGCAAATGACCACTGCTACAAGTTAAGTTAGCTTAATAAATGTCCCATTGAAGGACAGTTCAAGCTTAGTCTGGTTTACAATTTACAAAATCTTTGAATCATAGAATCCTTAGACTTGGAAGGGACCTTCAGAGGTCATCTAGTCCAGCTCCCTTGCAATGAACATGGACATGTGCAGCTAGGTCAGGTTGTCCAGGGCTTGATCCAGCCTTGATCCAAATGTTAAAGCTCAGTGTGGCTCTGTATTGTCGTAGTTCTCATTAAGGACCAGAATCCAGTTGCTTCATGTACTTTCAGCCACAGGAAAACAAAAGCCAGCAGTCCCCTAGATGACCTTCAGGCACACATCTTTAATCTTAGATCCTGTTGGTTGAATGGTTGGTGGTCAAGAGTTTTGTTGGTAAGCCAAGCGATGCCTTTATTGTTAGTGGTATTTCAGACCATGCTTATTTAACTTATAAAGACATTTCTGTGCTTCATTACTGTGACACATATTCTTTCTTCAATACATTCTACATTGTAAAATGTTAAATCCAGTGATTTTGATATATTTACACACATATACACATTTGCTTGTGTGTGTGTATATATATATATATATATATATACACATGTATGATATATTTATGATTAACAGCTTTGATTGAACTGAGCTGAATGTTGCTTACAGGGAAACACTGTGGAAGATAATGAAAACATGCGGTGATAAAACACAATTCAGACCTAAGGCTTTACACTGTGCTTGCAGTGTTTTATCATTTGTTTTATTTGTGTGACCCTGTTGATGAATATAATTAAAGTTGATAACATTTATGATTCTTCATCAGGTACTCTATGGTTGTCACCCACAGCTTACTACGGTTCTTTCTTTACTCAGATAGCTACTAAAATTTCAGTATGAGGTAGATGAAGAGATTTAAGACAACTGAAATTGTTTGGAAACGCACTTGCAAAAGTTTCATGAAAGGAAATTTTGTGTGGTTAAAGCCATTAAACTCCAAAATTTCACTCCTGAAAGTACTGGTGGGAGGGAAAGAGAGTCTGCTAGGCAATTATTGTGTGCAGTGTGACCAATTGCTGGAGGAAAGATTAAAAGTTAACATTTAGTTCTTGGTTTAATTCTGGAAATTTGTAACACAGAAGTGCAGAATCTGCTTTGTACGCTTGCTGAAATTTGGTGCAGATTCACAATTTGGAATCCGTTGTCTTTTTTTTTTAAATATATATATACGTTTCATTAAAAACAAAAACATACTAGAGCTCTTAAATGGCACATTGAAGTGTTACATGTAGGTGTCTCATAGACTACTCACAGGGAAAACTTATTTGCTTGGCAAGTGGAATAAGAGAAGAAAGATAACTGCTTCTTTTTGTGAAGAAAAGGAAATAGTGCTGGTGCTTGTGAAGTAAGGTGCTTAAAAACAGAGCTAGCCTTGCTGTAACTATCTTTTCTGTGTTGTATTGCAGAGATGGTGAGCTGAGTTTGAGTCGATCAATGATCAATAGCTCTGATAAAACAATCCGAAAGGGCGGTTCCGCTATCTTCCAGCATTCTGTAGAAGGTTGGAAAATCAATTCTACTTTGGTACTGGAGATAAGGTGAGTATCTTAAGTAACACACAGTTCATCTCATATTACTATTGCTTACAGTTCTTCTGGTCCAGAACAAAGTCATTTGATTTACTGCTGCAGGTGGATGTTTTATAACTGTACTCTCTAAAGGTGCAGTGTTAAATGCAACTGAATGCCATTAGGCTGCAACGTAAAGTCAACCTTTGTAAGAATGAATAAAATGTTTTCATCTGGCTATGTCAGTCAGACCTTGAGGACATTATCTACATTATGCATGTTGTCAAGAACCCTCTTGGAGTCAGTGATGAGAAACTGGCACTTTTAGAATATGATTTACTCTCATCCTAGAGGACCGAAATAAGACAGATGCAGCCTGAAAGTACCTATTTTTCTTCCTAACTACAAAGGGAGCTCAGGCATGTGACTTAGATGTAAGAGTCAAGAGCTGGGACATGAGGTGCTGACCTCCCTGAGGCTGGGTCCGAGTCAGAAGGCACACACATGGCCTGGTGATGTTGACAGTCTCAACAGTTTTCTTTTTTTTCAGAGACAGAGAGGCCAGAAAGAGCCTTAGGCTCATACTGAATGTGGGAGCACAGTGGAAGAATTAAAGCAAATGGTAACTCTGATGTGTCTTAAAGTGGGCCTACCCATGCTGGGGCCTGGGGGAAGAGCAAGTGAAAGCCTCCAAGTACTGTACTGCCATCATATCTTCCTTGTCTCAGTTAGTGAGGTGGGCAGGCAGCAGGAAAGAAATATGGGTCAGGGCTTAGCAGTGTGGGGGGTTAGAAACATGAAAGTAAACAAATTTTAGCTGCAGCTGTTTATCAGAGTAGCCTTGATTTTTGGAACATTAGGATGCTAAATTGGAATTTCATCTAATTAAACTGTATTTTCAATGTGGTTGCACTTTCTTCCCTTTTTTTCTTTTTTCTTTCTTTTTTTTTTTTTTTTTAAACAAAACAAAACAAAAACAAACAAATAAGGCCAGCTTAAAAAAAACCCTCAACTAGCAATCTTTCAGCTTATGAAAGCATGTCTTTTCCGAATGAGGAACTGTGGAATTTTTTTTATGACTACAATTGTATGTTTTTAATTCTAAAACGTGTAGGGAAACACAGAATCATAGAACCACTAAATGATTTGGGTTGGAAGAGACCTCGAAGGTCATTTTGTTCCAACCCCATTGCCTTGGGCAGGGCTGCCACCCACCTGGTCAGGCTTCCCAGGTATCCATCCAACCTGGCTTTGAATGCCTGTAGAGCACACAGTTACCTCAAAAATGATTAATATGTACACAGTGGTAGTAAAAGCAGTAAGTGCTGCATTTGTCACCCCATTCTGGAGGTCCTCTGCTGTGACAGGTGAAGTGCACTCCCACTGCAATAGCAGAGAATGGGGTCAGGGATGAAAAGTATAGCAAGAATTGAGTAGGCGGTGAACTATGCTGCTCTTGATACTTTAGATCCTGTAGCTGCATCTCAGCTCTGTGGTGCACTGTGGTGTCCTGTTCCCTGGCTGGGGGGCACTCATACCAGTGAGCATCTGGCAGTCAGCCACCACAGATGAACTGCCAGACCTCAACACTGGGGTTTTTTCACAAGAATTTTTTTTGTTACCTGTTTGGCCGGTGTGTTGGTCACGAGGTAATGGACAAGTTATGCTTTGAAGGTAGGCTGGGAAAGGTACGCAATGTCCTGTACCAGTATCTAAAATTCATATGCATGTAACAGACAGTTTGACAAATAGGAAGCAACTTCAGAAGAATACTGCACAAATTTCAAATCATCTATTATAGTTTTGACAATGAGAAGAAAACAGCACACTGTTTCACTTGTGAAGTAAACTAACTTGGAACTCACTGAAAGACTGTAAGTAGAAAGAGGTAATTATCCTTAGTTATCTAGTTTTTTGGAAAAATCAGTTATCCTATTTCGGAACCATTTACAGCCAGTGCACCTTCACTGCTCAAGCCAAACAACAAACTAGTAAAAATGTTACAATAGATTTTTGATTAAAGTTAAAAGCGAAAATGAAGCTTGGGTTATGCTCACTTTTCACTTGCTTCAGAAGCAGCATAGATCATTCAGACAGAGGGTCAAACAGTGGTGAATGTCTTTGAGGGTTTTTTTTTAAAGTCTGTAACTACAAGAGTATCATCTCAATCTACCCCAGAAGATGAGTTTCAAAATCAATACCTTTTCCGTATTGTTGGAGGTGGGAAAGTTCTGCCATTTAAAAAATGATTAATGAGCTCTGAAGGAACATATGATGTGAACATGTGGTATTTCTTAAAAATGGTACAGTGAAGAATGCTTTTTGTCTCAACTGTGCAGTGAGGAAAAATGTGTATCCTGAACAGTATATGAAAGGAGTCCATGCCACCTGCAAGTCCTAGCAAATCATCTTTGCTAGTATGTGTAGCATATTCAGTTAATTCAGCAAGTGAGGAAGGGAACTTTGCTATACTTTCTCCTGAGGACCCCCTTGTGAAACTTGTTCTGCTCCTGATGCTGACTGAACAATACACGTTCTTCTTTCATTATTGCAGGAGGATTGCCATAATCTTTCTTCCCCATTTCAGCTGCAAGAAGCATCTTAACCTTAAATATTTGTACACTTAGGAATCTTTCAGCGTTAACTTCAGATGTATCTAGAAATCTCCTGTAGTGTTTTCATGGTTAAACTAACTCTTCAGCCCTCCGAAGAGCATTACACTCACTGTGAAGACCATGAGGATGATTCATGCTATTGCTGCAACTGTTAATGTGAGCAGCGATACTCTTGTGGTTGAGCGTCATCCTAGCAAGTAACGGTAGGAGAGAAACACTTTAAAAAAAGCTAGCACCTTTTGAATAAAAAATCTTATCACTTCTCAAGAGTGGAGAAATAGTTTGTGTAACTATTAGCGTACAGCCTAGAGACATTTCATAAGACTTTTCATCACTCATAAACTGCAGCTACCTTTGTGTCTTACATCAGCTTGACACCCACAATGACTATTTTAAAACACGGAAAATATTTGTCAGTGAATTTTGCTTTGTGCAAGGACTGTTCTTTAGTGGTATGTCTGGACATTGCTGTCTGGCAGCTGGAATGTTACCCTTTGTTATTATACTGTGCTGCTTTCTCTGTTTGGTCATGTGTTGATTTTATTAGCTCAGGGTAGTGACCAGTTTCTGTCAACCACAAAGGTCATATGGGATCTTGGCCAGGTCATGCCTTAGTGAGTCAGTGAGTGAAAAGCTTCATTATCCAGACCCATAAAGGTTCTGCAGGGTGTCTGGTGTCATAGACTGCTCTCTCTTGGGACCTTGCAACCAGAAGAGATAAGGGAATGTAGCAGCTGTTTTGGGAGCCAATGCCCTTTTGAGGAGATGCTAAGCAAGCGTTAAAGAAAGTACTAGGCTTTTTTCTATTATTGAGGAGGGAATGGTTGATGTCATTAATTACAAGAGACTGTAGCAAATTTGCTCCTTTGCTGGTCACAGTTGCTTTAGTGGGAGAGAGATTTTTCCAACTGATGTTACCTACTGATTGCTGACAACTTCTTTGAAAAATAATTAGTAATTCCTGTGCCTGAGGGTAGAAGACTGCTTGCTTGACTCCCTCTCTGTCAGAATGATTTCAGCCATGTGTAAGGAGAACCCACCTTCTGCAAAATTGTGCTTTTTAAGTCCTTCCTATTCTTAGTAGAAATGTGAAGGTTTTCCTGGTGCAGAAACTAGGAATTTTTGGTCACATAAGGGACGGTACCTTCGAACAGGAGAGGTGTGGCTGAGATTATACAAGCCTCTCTGACAGAGGACTGATGCTAGCACCTCTGTAACCTGTGTGAAATCATGTAATTACAGTGTGAAGTTTCAGGATGGGATTTTTGTTCTTCCACTTATTTTTGATTAAATGTGGGCATGGGTTTTTGTTGAAGGGAGCAGATAGGGGTTTTGAATTTTGGGAAGACAAAATGAAAAAATGATGCGTGTCTATGTTATATTCATCTCTTTACAATGTGAGAGAGTGGAAATTTCCTTTCTGAAAAGTGTGAGAACCTCTAAGATGTTAGCAGCATCATTAAAAACAAAACAACAACAACAAAAAAGAACAGAACACAAGAAAAAAACACCATTGTGATGACTTCCCCTTCTGAAGAGTTTTGATTATTATCATTGTTTATCTTACAAGTTAATATGAAACAGCTATGATAAGCCACTGAACAGCAAGTGATAAACACTGAATTGGCACTGAAACAGTGAAATTGCTCTGAAGCTTTTGTAGGAGCTTTTGGAGGTTTCAGAGCCAGCCACTGGCTGTTTCCTCCAGATTCCCCTCCAGATTCCGAGACCTGCAAACTGGGGCTTTCCACTATGGTCACAATAAACTTTAGAGTTTTTTTCCTGCTCAGTCCTTAACGTCAATTAAAAATTCAGTGTTCTCTGTAGTGTGAGACAGTTAACTCCTCTAACTCCTTTCCTTTGTCTCTCGCTTTCTTCAGTGCATTGAAAGCTGAGGTATTTCTAGCCTTCATATGTTAAGCAGCAGTTAGGTCATGCTATGTTTAAATGTCCACTCTTCCTTTTGCTGGAAAGCTCTAAAGATTTGTAGCTCGATTATTGTAGCTCGATTAGTGTATGCTTCAGCTGCTAAAGTGACCTTTTTGGTCAAGGAGAAGCATGGTGCCCTGAAAGTAATGGGGGGGGGGGGGGG